AATGGTGCACGATAAATACCTGTGGGTTTGCATATCTAAAAGGCAGGCTTGTTCCACCTGCTGGCTTGTATACAAGTTTTGGGCAATTTTTAGATATTTTACCAAGGCACCCCTAAGAAACCTCAAGGCACCCCAGGGTGCCTGGGCACCCTGGTTGAGAAAGGCTGAGCTGGATACTTTTCAGAGGTAAAACAAAGGTAATCTTAGCTACAGCCTGTCCCCTGAAAGCATGCTGAAGGGAAGGGCCTTTGCTGTGGAAGCAGAGCTCTTTTTGCAAAGGTCTGACTTTCTCACTGCTAAGTCAGAGCTATAGCTCCATACACAGCAAAGCTCATGAGCTATTGGAGACAACTGCTTCCATACAAGGTACCTATCTGTAGCATGCTAGCAGCGGACAGGCTTTTCTACAAAGGGCTGTGACTGCTTTGTGACAAAAAAATTAAGTGAATTCCAGTATCCCAGAAAGCTCCTCCAAGACATGTTTTTTTCCATAGATAAGAACCAAGCGCACACTGGATTATCTAACTTTTTGGCCTCTTTGAGGCTGTTAAAGCCATGGACACTCAAACTATTGAGTTAAGGTTTCTATTTCTGTAGAACAGCAGAGAGATTTTGCTTAAGAGACAGTTTACACATAAAAACTGCCTTCTGGGGTTGTTTTATATTTTAGTATTCACCAAAAACTAAAATACCAGTTTTGACTTGGCTTCCTTTTTGAAATTGAGTGGTACACACTATCCTTTAGAAAATATTGATTCCTGTTGTATTAATGTAAAGTAACTTTTTTTTGTTCTTTTAAACAGGAAAGTAGATTTGGAGAAGGTTTTAGATCTGGAACAGAACCCTATTCGAGACAAAATTAAAAATGCATTTTTTGATAAAAGGTAAGGTAGCTCATTTATATAGCGCTTAATAACTAGTGTTTTTTTCCCACAGTGTCCATATTTTATTTCCACTTTTCTGTCTGAGATGCCAAAACACTTCACAAGGAGCCAAATGACACTGGCTTGTTTATCAAGCCTTGACACATTGGCAGACTTTTGTACAGACTGCAATCATATCCATGTCTGCAGGAGTTGACTTAGGGGTAATATATTATTAATCCTTTCATTGCCAGAATTCTCCTGAGTAAGCCCAGGCCAGATTTAGTATTATTAGTATATTGTTTTGGTTAGCTTGACAATAACATTTTGATTGAATATCTAAATACATTTTCCAATAAAAACAGGTATTTTATTTTAGTACATTGGTTTAATAAAACCTTGCTCAGTTATTTATTATACTCTGACAAATGGAAACAAAAGTTGCAAAAATGTACGATTATTTATAATGCTATAATTGTATCAGGCAGTTACAGTATTAAACAGAGGCACACTGCCATCATCAGGATACAGTGGCATCTGAAGACTTTAGGTCTTTGGTTTTATTCCTTACTGTTAGTCTGCAGCTGAACTGTTAGTAACAGCCCAACATAGTATTAACTACTAGCTGTAGTTTAACATTTTCTCTGCGGGGGGGGGCATCATGTAGGGAAATGTTAATTTACAGATTGTGTGGCAAATGGTTAATGTCAGGTTTTTTGCACTTTGGGTTTTTTTTTCTTCATTTAGCGTTCATTAACGTTAGAAATGCATATGCGTTTTCTTAAATTTATTTTCAGTTCCATGCCATTTCTATGCATTTTACATGTTTTACAGGCATTTTTTATGATGTTTACACAATTTTGTCAGTTCTATAATCATACATTTTAAAATCATTGTAAAGCACATGTAAATTCTGTGCAAAGCACTTGTACCTCATTCTCCATTCATCTTATTGTTTTCATATGATATTGTTTTTTTTCATTTTTTTTTCAAATTACAAAGTACAGTAAGCATGTCAATGCAAAAAACAGACAATTGCATTACATATATAATAAACCTTGATGGTAAAGAGTCAATATAGCATGTATGAAGTCATTTTCAAATACAATGTGTACAAAATTCTGGCCAAGATTTATGAAGAAAGATTATTTATTTGCAAAATTGTATAAGAAAAACACTTTTTATTTAAATGTTTGGATTTTTTCGTTTATATAGCAAAAAAAATTTAAATCCCAGTGGTGAATAAATACCACCAAAATAAAGTTTTATGTCTCAAAAAAATGCTAAAAAATGCATGTGGGTACAATGTTGCATGACCACGCAACTGTCATTCCAAGTGTGATAGCACTGAAAGCTGAAAATTGGCCTGGTAAGGAAGGGGGTATAAGTGCCTGGTAGGCAAGTGGTTAATGCAGCCATCACATCCAAGAATTGGTAAGCTGCTATATAATACGTTTGCTTTCAGATTTAATACCATTTTAATGGTCCAAGCCTTAGCTGAGGAACTTCTACATCTTATATAAAGCCCACATTTAAAACCACTCTCCTACATTTTCACAAAAAAAATACTCAGAAACTACTAGAATGAGAGACTCTCCTATGAGAAAAATACAAAAATCCATATGCTAGTCAAATGTCTACTTCATAGCATCTTCTCTACTTCCATGTTTGCCCATAAGCTAAACCATTCACTAATGGGTAATGAATAAGTGCTGTCTTTAGCGCTGTCATTTTTTTCTCACAAATAGAGCTTTCTTTTTGTGGTATTTACTTGCTGCTGGGGGTTTTATTTTTTGCGCTATAAACAAAAAAAGAGCAAACAATTTGAAAAAAAAAAGGTTTCTTTATTTCTATTATAAAATTTTGCAAACAGGTAATTTTTCTCCTTTACTGATGTGCGTTGATGAGCCTGCACTGATAGGCAGCACTGATAGGCAGCACTAATGAGGTGACACGGATAGGCGGCACTGATAGGTGGAACTGATAGGCAACACTGATGATGGGTACTGATAGCACTGATACTGGCGGCACTAACTGGCGGCACTGCTGGGCACTGACTGGCACAACTGCTGGGCACTGACTGGCAGCACTGCTGGGCTGCACTGATGGGTGGCACTGATGGGCACAGGTGGGTGGCACTGATGGACAGAGTTTTCTGACACAGGTGGGTGGCACTGCTGGGCAATGGTGGGCACAGGTGGGTGGCACTGCTGGGCACCAATCATCAGGGCACTATTTTCATCTGGCGACCTAGCTAGTAAGGCTGTTATTTTTCAAAAGAACAAGCCCTCCAGCAAAATGTATCAGTTACAGAGATGAGACAAACCATTTAACACTAACAAGGGTGCTTACAATTATTGACTTTTATTTATTTATGTAAAACCTTTATCCCAGCAGGGAAAAAACTGCTGTAACTGCTTATAAAGTATTAGCTTGAGTTTGGCTTCAATTTGTTAGTGTATCTAAATCTGCTAGTGCATTTAACACTCCTCTCCCCCCAGACTGACATTGCTGCTGTCTGCTGTGCCCCCCTGTGTTCATTCATCCAAAGTGGGGGTACTCCAATAGGGGTGTGTTACTGGTCAGAAAACGGGGAAAAAAATTTAAAAAGAAAGCTAATGAAGCCACCACATCTAACAATTTGTAAGCTGCAGTATATTTCTCATTTTTGGTTTTGGGTTTAATACTGCTATAACCATTAGCCACCTGGCCAATAGCCGTTTGGCGGCTGGGAAAAGGCTGTAGATTTCCGAGTGGACACCATATGGCGTCCTCCCGCACATGCGCAGTTTTCGCGCTTGCAGAGCCGCGCTGCGGCGCGATCTGTCACCGGCCGTGTACCTCGGACACGGCCAATGACAGATCTGAGTACCGGCCCCCGTTGCCGGTACCATGTGACCTGCTGTGACCAATCACAGCAGGTCACATGACAGTTGTATACAATGGATGGCTTCATTCATGCCATCCATTGTATACTAGTGTCTAGCTGTGAATTGTCACAGCGATCACATGCACATGTCATGTGATTAGCTGTGGCCAAATCACAGCTAAGCACAAAAAAAAAAAAAAAAAAACCCTGAATGAATCGATGTCATTCAGGTAAATGCTTGCTTACAGCAAAGTAATTCTTTGCTATAAGCAAATTGTGTAACAAAAAAAAAAAAAATACTGATCACTTCCCCAAAGTAGTACAACTGTCACCAGTCAGTGTCCCTGATCACCGCCATGCCAGTTATATGATGACGCTGTACTGCACTGGTGACAGTATGTAAAAAAACATTGTGAAAATAATTTTTTTCATTTTCCTAAAAATTATGACAAAAAAAAATACATCTTCAAAAAACTCGCCATGCCCCTTATGAAGTACGTCGGACTGTCTACTTTGCAAAAAGGGGTCATTTGGGGGATATCTGTACTGTTCTGACATTCTTGGACCTCAAGAAATTAGATTGGCTGTCAGTACTTCAGGATTGATCAATTTTCAGATATATCCCATAGTTTGTGAACTCTATAACTTTCCTACAAACTAAAAAATACATCATAATTTGGGTTATTTTCACCAAAGACATGTAGTAGAATACATTTTGGCTTAAATTTATGAAGAACATTTATTTATTTGCAAACTTTTATAACAGAAACAAAGAAAAACGTGGATTTTTTTTTCAAAAGTTTCGGTCTTTTTTTGTTAATTTAGCAAAAAATAAAAAACCCCGGTGGTGATTAAATACCACAAAAAGAAAGCTCTAGTTGTGTGAAGAAAATGATAAAATTTTAGTTTGGGTACAATGTTGTATGACCGCGCAATTGTCATTCAAAGTGTGAGCGCTGAAACCTGAAAAATGGCCTGGGCAGGAAGGGGTAAACGTGCCCGGTATGGAAATGGTTAATGATCTTTCACTATTTTTGTTGCTGCAATAATAACTAAAAGTCTGAGTATGAGGACTGCTTTGTTCGTTGTCCAGATGCTTGAAATTGGAATGTCATTGTTTATGAAGTAGTCTTCTAAAGGAGGAGATAAAGTTTGAATGGTGATAGTGGCAGTAAGTAAAGAGTTGATAAGAGATTATATGTGGCTGTATGCTGTATTACCACTTTGGTACATAGTGCTGTTACAGAGGTATTTTATGTATTGCTCTTATGTTCTCTTTTAGGAATCTAAGAACAGGAACTTACGGATTTGAAAAGGAGATTGACTTTGAAAAGTTTCTTATTATTATGTCCTATTTCCGACCACTGGCTGAGAATGCTGATGAAGAAGCCATTAATTCATGCCGTAAGAACAAATTGCAATGTAGGTATTGCATTCAGCGATAATTCGAACAGCTGTACATGCCTATTGTGATTCATGATAGAATTTCATAGCAGGGCTATACAAAGTAACTACAGATCTGAGGACAGCACACATGGTCAGCATTGCTGTCTTGCAGACCTGTTGTATTTGTATTCATCCAAGCCATGATCCGTATGGGTGCTCTGGTCTCCTTCCACATAGCAATTAAGTAGAGACAAGGTTGGCGCATCTTTCTAATGGGTTCTAAATTAGGGTTGCCACCTCATCCCTTTAAAACCCAAAACGTATTAATTACACAGGTTCTGAGGCTAATTTAATGCAGATAAGGAACTAGGTGAGTTTAATTACCTCCTCAATCAGCCACAGAACCTGTGTAATTAATATGTGTTCAGGTTTTAAAGGGATGAGGTGGCAACCCTATTCTAAATAGTACTTGTGATTGATATGAATGGTTTAATGACTTTTTGGAAAACACTATAAAATGTGTCATATTTTATAAATGAGTGGTAATGAAGATAGTATTAATCAGGGATTGACAAAACTGTATGTCAACCTTGTCATGCATTCTTTTTTCTACCATTTGGTCTTTTTAACAACTAGTCATACCTAGATGTATACAAGAATCTTATCATCATTCAGTTTTAAATTCTTAGAATGGTGCAGGATTACCTACATTAAGATCCATTTGGATTTCATGGCCTAATAACCTGAGATGATTCACTAGTGATCATCAATCACTACACATAGGTAGGCAGAGTACTGAATACCATAGCCATTAAACACAGCTGCATGTGTAGCAATCACTAGTAATTAATCAAATGCAATTTTCTCCTGGGGACATAAAAATCCCAAAGGCTTGGTTCACACCTATGCAGTTTGCGTTTGATCCGTTTCTGCAGTATTTTTTTTGCGCGGTGCGTTTTTGCACATGCGGTTTTGTTGCATTTTGCAGTTTTTAATTTTTTCTTTTCTTCTTACTAGGCAGATTAACCACTTCCTGTCCAGCCCATGTACATAAACAGCCGGATGTGAGTAGTGCAGGAGCGGGTTGCCGTTCAGAAACGGCGCCCGCATTTTGAAGCTGTGCTCCCTGGGATCACGCAGCACCGCGATCCAGTGCCCACTGTGTCCTCTGTTGTACACCAATCGTTGTACTGGACCTCTGTGTGAGGTCCTGATCATTTGATCACTGATTGGCCAATCAGTGATCACATGAATAGTAGTAAGCAAAATGTCACTTCTGACATCATTGCTTACTACGTGTGAAATCTGTGAATGATCACAGAGGTCACATAGTACAAGGCTATTCACAACAGCCTTGTACCATATGACAAGTTGTGACCAATCACAGCTCACACAGTAATAATAATAACACATGCAGCGCTACAAATGGTTAATATAAATTAACATATAGGGTAATAAGTGATGGGCTACTAGTGCTTAATGGTGATTGAAAAGTGTCCTCATAACATGATACAATAGTCCCAGTAAACCGTGCAAAGGTGGTTGACTCCATGCTGAAAGGTGTCTAATATTATGCACTCACCAGAAAGCGCATAATATGCGCATTTGAGTTGTCAGACCACTCCTGGTCCTAGAAAGCTGAACCTGTGTGGATCATCTGGCAAGCTGTCACTCTGATGGGGATACACCTTTCCTTGGCCAGCAGGGGGATTCCAGACATCCAGAGACACTTAATAACACTGATCCAGATTCCTCACCCAGGGCACTCATATGAGATATCCACCTTAAGAGAGGGGGGGGGGCTTGACCATAAAGCCCACCCCAAAAAACACTAATAGTGTAGTACGTTCCAAAAAGCCTTTATTGCAGAATAAAACAGGTCACTCACAGGGTATCCCAGAGTCAAAGATGGCCGCCGGCCTCCACGAGGTATGGAACGGCGTGACGTCACCGGCTAGGCTCCAACTGACGCGTTTCGTGCGGACGAGCACGTTATCAAAGGGAGCGAGCACTAGCCGGACAAACTCATATATAGTGTTTCCCGCGCATGCGCGGTGAAACGAAAAAGCCGGTGACGCCATTTTGGCCCGCTCGCGCATGCGCAAAGCATACGATAGCGGCCATTTTCTTGGTTATCGTGGCTCAGGATAGGCGATCATTATGCATTTGGGTGAATTCATCTTACCTGCACTACTATATAGAAGACCAGTATACAGGAAACAGAAACCATCCATATTAAGGTGTATACTGGCCATAAGGGGTATTATATATATTGCACTATCCCTGACTCCATTGTAATGGAGTTTAATACAGGTGCAGTCAGATTTGCCAAATGAAGGCTAATTACATAACACTTATCGCATGTATATATAAATATATTTAAATATAGTATGGTAATAGCCAGACATCAATAAAATTAAGATAAATAATTTATAAATAATGGAATCGTGCCTAAAAACAACCCCCTGAGCCAGGATAACTTACACTTCAAATAATATAAAAACCTTGTATAAACCATATATAAAAAATGTATAAACATATACATATATGCATTTAGGTGAATAAAAAATTAAAAAATTAAAAGTAGGCTAGACATATCAACTTGTATCAATAAAACAATTAATGTCAAGGTCTACATTCAAGCCTTGAGGGAAAAAAGACTGTAGCTCATAAATCCACTTGGTTTCCAACTTGGAAACCGATCTCTTTTTGTAAGTACCCCTCCAATGTGGTTTCACAATGTCTATAGCAACAAATTTCAAGCATTTGGGATTGTTATTGTGGCACAGCCGATAATGTAAAGATAATGAATGGTAAAGATAATGAGTTGATATGTCTAGCCTACCTACTTTTAATTTTTTAATTTTTTATTCACCTAAAATGCATATATGTATATGTTTATACATTTTTTATATATGGTTTATACAAGGTTTTTTATATTATTTGAAGTGTAAGTTATCCTGGCTCAGGGGGTTGTTTTTAGGCACGATTCCATTATTTATAAAAATTATTTATCTTAATTTTATTGATGTCTGGCTATTACCATACTATATTTAAATATATTTATATATACATGCGATAAGTGTTATGTAATTAGCCTTCATTTGGCAAATCTGACTGCACCTGTATTGAACTCCATTACAATGGAAACACTATATATGAGTTTGTCTGGCTAGTGCTCGCTCCCTTTGATAACGTGCTCGTCCGCACGAAACGCGTCAGTTGGAGCCTAGCCGGTGACGTCACGCCATTCCGTACCTCGTGGAGGCCAGCGGCCATCTTTGACTCTGGGATACCCTGTGAGTGACCTGTTTTTATTCTGCAATAAAGGCTTTTTGGAACGTACTACACTATTAGTGTTTTTTGGGGTGGGCTTTATGGGTCAAGCCCCCCCCCCCCCCTCTCTTAAGGTGGATATCTCATATGAGTGCCCTGGGTGAGGAATCTGGATCAGTGTTATTAAGTGTCTCTGGATGTCTGGAATCCCCCTGCTGGCCAAGGAAAGGTGTATCCCCATCAGAGTGACAGCTTGCCAGATGATCCACACAGGTTCAGCTTTCTAGGACCAGGAGTGGTCTAACAACTCAAATGCGCATATTATGCGCTTTCTGGTGACTGCATAATATTAGACACCTTTCAGCACGGAGTCAACCACCTTTGCACGGTTTACTGGGACTATTGTATCATGTTATGAGGACACTTTTCAATCACCATTAAGCACTAGTAGCCCATCACTTATTACCCTATATGTTAATTTATATTAACCATTTGTAGCGCTGCATGTGTTATTATTTATTTTAGTGTGAAGGTTTGGGGTTTGTGCCTTTCATGCTAGCTGCTTGTTATCCATCTCCAAGCGCTCGTTAATTATTCTTTTCGCTGTTTTGACAGCTCACACAGTATTTCTCAATGGCTGCAAGAATGCAGCCAGAGAGAAGGAGAAATGATTGCTTTTACAGCCTTTATGGGTGTAAAAAAAAAAAACCAAAATCTTCATCACCCCCTATAAGTAGTACAGTGTCACTATGGTGACACTGTACTGCTAGGGTGACAGTATGTTAAAACAACAAAAAAAAAAAAAAAACCCCATAAATAATTAAAATTAAAAACAAAATTTTTAAATTATAATTTTTGGTTATAAACTAATTTGGGTTATTTTGTTTTACTAAAGCTGTTATAAGAAAAACACTTTTTTTCAAAATTTTTGGACATTTTCATTTATACAGCAAAAAAAATAAAAATCCCAGTGGTGAAAAAATACCACCAAAATAAAGTTTTATCTGTCTCACAAAAAAATGCTAAAAAATTCATATAGGTACAGTGTTGCATGACCGCGCAATTGTCATTCAAAGTGTGATAGCACTGAAAGCTGAAAATTGGCCTGGACAGGAAGGGGGTAAAAGTGTCTGGACTTGAAGTGGTTAAAATGCAAAATGCATCAAAAATATGTCAAAAACACAGCAAAAACACACTACGTGCTTTGCCGCAACTTCTCCATTGAATTCTATAGAACCAAAAACACAACTTTTTGCATTTAAAAAAGTCCCTTACCATTTCCAAAAAACGCTCCAACTGAAAACATGTAGATGGAAATGTGTCCAATAGGAAAGCATGTTAAATGGACTGTAGTTCATTTCTGAAAAATGTTTAGGCATGAAGCTAGACAAAGACTCTTCTGCAGCATCCAGAAGGCCACAGAAATCATGGCAACATCTATTAGGACCAGCTGACTTGGTGCTGTAATTCAGGCAACAAGCATTGTTACCATATCTTGGGCCACCACCCTCTAAGAAGGAGTACTGTGCAGAGACAGGACACGCATGGACAGAACATCACCTCAGGAAAAGCAGAACTTTGGAAGAGGCTCACAGAACAGGGAAAGGTTCTGGTAAAAACGTCAGAAGAGGCACACTGAGGTATAGGGTAGAACTGAAGATGTAATATTCATTATAAGCAACTGAATATAAGGACAAAGATAGATTGTTTATTTTGAAAAATAGCTGGGCAGACACAGGTAAGGCAAAGAGTCATAGTCCTGTGCTTGCCCTGGTCCACGAAGGTATGAAACAATTGAATGTTTTCAGCCAATGGTTGCTGGTAATTATAGGAATTTAGGCTAACTTTTAGGCCTTTTTCACCCTCCAGCACATAGAGGAGGTATTCTTCAATACTGAAATCCATTGTAGATTAGAGGAAGAAAAGCAAAAGGAAAAAATAAAGTTAAAGCAACAGAGAAACATCAAAATGAACAGAAAACCAACTGTTGCTTAAAGTGGTTGTTTTTTTGTAATAAAATAATAAACATGTCATACTTACCTGTTCTGTGCAATGATATTGCACAGATCAGCCCCAATACCCCTCTTCTTGGGTCCCCTGTCATCGCTCCTGGCTCCTTCTCTTCAGCACATGCCCCCATAGGAAACTACATTTCAGAAGCCTTTCAGTGAAGTTTTTTTTTACTACAGTGTTCAATATGGGAGGAGAAGAAAAACCCTTATTTACAGTTACAATATGGGGTTACTTCTAGTGCATATCAGGATATTGCATCATCCATCACTGCATTAGCCTGTGCCCATAGATTTAGATATCTATCCAGCATATCTTCAGTGTAAATGGTCATTTGAAGCTATAGCTACAAGCATGCTGTTGTAGCACTACCCCTGTAGGAGCTGCTGAGCTTGATTGGGTCCCCTCTAAGCTTTGCACAGCCAGACAACATGCATTTTTTGGCATCTTGCACCCAGAGTCAGTAAGACAGTCCTTGGGCTGGTTTTTAGTTGTTTTTATTGAGGGGTTAGCAACTTGGATGGGGTCTAGCGGTATATGGGATGGCCAAGGAACTGCAAACGTGAGGACAAACTTCTCAGCAAACTGTGTACTGTGCAAAATGTGGATCAGGAAAATAGCACTCTTTTTAAGGAGCACCTTGATGTACCTCCTCAGACTCCAGATGAATCCTTCCTCCTCACCCGGCTGCACTGAGAGCATCCCTGGGCAAGGAATTCTAAGAGCTGCCACTCAAGCAGTCCTGGATGAGAAATAGCTGGGTCTTGCACCTAACCGCCCTCTTCCTTTATCTAGCCCAGGGGGTGTAGAAGTACTCACACTGTCCTGTCCTGTTAGCTTGGTGGGTTGCAGCTGCCTTCATGCCTTACGCTGGGCTGACTCCTTTCCTGCTGACAGGATTGTCCCCTAGGAAACTTGGCACAGTGGAGAACCCTCTGTTCAGCAACCAGCCTGTATGTAGGCTCCCTTCCCTGAGCCCCCCTCCCAGCCTTCACTCTCCAGCACCTTCCTTCAGTCCACCATCCATCTGACTCCCACTGCTGTACAGGCTCTGACACATTTAAGGGTTAACCTTAACCACCATTCCCGGTTTCTTGCCTAGGGATTGGCTAAGTTCCCCTAAACATGCAAATCTGGGCCTCTTCCCCTCCTCCATCCCTCTTCTAGAAAGTTCTCACAGTTTTTGGAAGAGTGGGAGTGCTCCAGAAGCCCTGACCTGTAGAGCCTTCCCGTCCATTCTGAGGTGATCTCACTTCTTCACTCCCAGGCTGACTCATCCCAGGCTGCTACCCAGCATCCAAAATAACAAAAAATCCTATCACTAGAGGGTACTACATCATATTTTGTGAATAATTTTTTGTAAATAAAGTGCATTTTAAGTTTGTGTTAAGCTTTTTTTCTCAACTATAAACTGATAACACACATAATAACATGATGAAAATGATGAGTAATTGTTCATCTTGTTTCTCGTAGTTCTTTTCAACATGTATGACACGGATAATGATAGCATGATCACTCTGGATGAATACAGAAATGTACGTATGTGTTTTTCACTTCCAGCTTGGGAATTATTTCCCTAGGCAGTTATACTATATATAACATAATCCAAATGTACAGTATCGCACAGAAGTGAGTACACCCCTCACATTTTTGTAAATATTTTATTATATCTTTTCATGTGACAACACTGAAGAAATTATACTTTGCTACAATGTAAAGTAGTGAGTGTACTGCTTGTATAACAGTGTAAATCTGCTGTCCCCTCAAAATAACTCAACACACAGACATTAATGTCTAAACCGCTGGCAACAAAAGTGAGTACACTCCTAAGTGAAAATGTCCAAATTGGGCCCAATTAGCCATTTTCCCTCTCCGGTGTCATGTGACTCATTAGTGTTACAAGGTCTCAGGTGTGAATGGGGAGCAGGTGTGTTAAATTGGTTGTTATTGCTCTCATGCTCTCATACTGGTCACTGGAAGTTTAACATGGCACCTCATGGCAAAGAACACTCTGAGGATCTGAAAAAAAGAATTGTTGCTCTGATGGCCTAGGCTATAAGATTGCCAAGACCCTGAAACTGAGCTGCAGCACGGTGACCAAGACCATACAGCGGTTTAACAGGACAGGTTCCACTCAGAACAGGCCTTGCCATGATCAACCAAAGAAGTTGAGTGCACATGCTCAGCGTCATATCCAGAGGTTGTCTTTGGGAAATAAACGTATGAGTGTTGCCAGCATTGCTGCAGAGGTTGAAGGGGTTGGGGGTCAGCCTGTCAGTACTCAGACCATACGCCACACACTGTATCAAATTGGTCTGCATGGCTGTCATCCCAGAAGGAAGCCTCTTCTAAAGATGATGCACAAGAAAGCCCGCAAACAGTTTGCTGAAGACAATCAGATTAAGGACATGGATTACTGGGACCATGTCCTGTGGTTTCACGAAACCATGATAAACTGATTTGGTTCAGATGGTGTCAAGCGTGTGTGGTGGCAACCAGGTGAGGAGTACAAAGACAAAGTGTGTCTTGCCTACAGTCAAGCATGGTGGTGGGAGTGTCATGGTCTGGGGCTACATGAGTGCTGGCGGCACTGGGGAGCTACAGTTCATTGAAGGAACAATGAATGCCAACATGTACTGTGACATACTAAATCAGAGCATGATCCCCTCCCTTCGGAGACTGGGCCGCAGGGCAGTATTCCAACATGATAACGACCCCAAACACACCTCCAAGACAGCCACTGCCTTGCTAAAGAAGCTGAGGGTAAAGGTGATACCAGACCTCCAGACCTAAACCCTATTGACCATATTGAGCATCTGTGGGGCATCCTCAAACGGAAGGTGGAGGAGTGCAAGGTCTCTAACATCCACCAGCTTCGTGATGTCGTCATGGAGGAGTGGAAGAGGACTCCAGGGGCAACCTGTGAAGCTCTGGTGAATTCCATGCCCAAGAAGGTTAAGGTAGTGCTGGAAAATAATGATGGCCACACAAAATATTGACACTTTGGACCCAAATTGGACATTTTCACTTAGGGGTGTACTCATTTTTGTTGCCAGTGGTTTAGACATTAATGGCTGTGTGTTGAGTTTATTTTGAGGGGACAGCAAATTTACACTGTTATACAAGCTGTACACTCACTACTTTACATTGTAGCAAAGTATAATTTCTTCAGTGTTGTCACATGAAAAGATATAAAATATTTACAAAAATGTGAGGGGTGAACTCACTTCTGTGAGATACTGTAGTTCCAGAAAACGTTATCAACCCTTTTGGTAGACATAAAAAAGCACAATGTTGTGGTTTACCATGGTCCAGACAGTAGTAGTTAGTTACATTTGACTGGACTTTTAGCAATGTTAAAACACTGGATGCCTAGAAATGTTGCAGAGAATGCTTCACCACTCAAGTAGATTCCTCAGTCCAGATACATGCTGGAAAGATACCCCAGTATTTCTAACGTGTGGTGTCATGAAATGTGTCAAAGCTTGACTGGTGGTAGTAAAAGATGTGAAAGGACTACAGCATGATGCCAGGAAGTTGTGGACATAATTTTAATGCATGAAAGTATAAATTGTCAAATCAATGGGGTAAAAATGGCATTGTACATGGTGTTGGGTGCCCCCAGCCCTGTGTAGGGATGATTGTTCCAGTCTGACATAGATGACTTCTTTTACACATCTTTGCAATGGTTAGCGCTTAACAGATCTGATCCATAAAGGAGAAAACCTTGGTTCTTATGAGTGACTCATGCATCAGTCATGAATATGCATTTTTGTTACACAGACACAGCATGATTCCTTCCAAATCCTATGGGACTTTAAATAGAGTAAGCTTAGATCAGAAATGTGTGGGGCTGTCTGATTTAGAATTTACATATACATAGTAATCCTAGCTTCAGAAACTGAGCTAAAATGGCAATAGGATTATATTTAGAGATGTAAACAGCCCGGTCACAAAAAATTACAACAAAGTTTTTTTTTTTTTAAACTATGCAGAGTATTTTTTGTTAACTTGATCTTTCTTTTTATATAGGTGGTAGAAGAATTACTATCAGGAAATCCTCATATTGAGAAGGAGACAGCAAGATCTATAGCAGATGGAGCAATGATGGAAGCAGCTAGTATGTGTGTTGGACAAATGGTAAAATATCACAGAACGGTGGTAATCTTGGAAGCAAATTTTATGTTTTCTTTTGAAGATTTATCAGGGCTCCAATGGTACTGACATCTCTGATACTAGCCATGGTATAAATTATGCTGTGATCATTGACAGGTATCTGCAATCTTCACCTAATATGCATACAATGTGGTGCGCTGTTTAGAGAAGCAGGTGGACTTTCTCTGTATCAGGTGATATTAGTAAATGTACTGTGAACTGCTGGAAGTTGAGCGGCTTCATCTTTGTTTTATTTATTTTGGTATCACTGTATTAGTGTATTATTGACTGGTCTGGAGTCTTGCACATCCTTCAGTTGATGGAGTGATGGCGGGAGGCTTGTAGTGAAGTAGCTGGGATGATGTGCATGGGGAACTGTATACTTGCTCTAAATGTCTCCTTCCCACAGTGATCACCACACAAAAATGCTGTTTTGTTCTAAATATCAGCTTCAAAAGACAGACTGTGCCAACCCGCTCTTCATGTCCTTTCCATGAAATGAACGCACAACACACATTCACTGGCCACTTTATTAGGTACAAATTGCTAGTGACAAGAAAATATCCCCCAAACCATTACACCACCACCAGCTTGAACCATTGATACAAGGCAGGATGGATCCATGCTTTCATGTTGTTTACATCAAATTCTGACTCTACCATCTGAATGTTGCAACAACCAGTCTGCCCATTCTTCTCTGATTCTGATCTCTGACATCAACAAGGCATTTTCGTCCACACAACTGCCGCTCACTGGATATTTTCTCTTTTTCAGATCATTCTGTGTAAACCTTAGAGATGGTTGTGCGTGCAAATCCTAGAAGATCAGTTTTTGAAATACTCAGACCAGTCCATCTGGTACCAACAACCATGCCATGTCCAGAGTCACTTAAATCCCCTTTCTTCCCCATTCTGATGCTCGGTTTGAACTTCAGCAAGTCGTTTTCACTACGTCTAGATGCCTAAATGCATCTAGTTGCTGCCATGTGATTGGCTGATTAACAATTTGTGTTACCAACCAGTTGAACAGGTGTACCTAACAAACTGGCCAGTGAGTGTAACTCTGGCTACAAAAAGGTTAATGAGCACAGAGAGAAGCCTGCTACATTTTCCCATGAACAGTTTAAAAAATGGGCTTGTTTGGATCTGACTGAAGGGAATTTGAGGTTATTTTGGAAAGGATAAAAACATGTACAGTTTCCATCATTTCCCACATTCTACCTCCAGTCTTTCACACAAATTAGCAATGACAGCTTTCGCCAATTATACATTTGAATAGATGGGCAGATGGAGCTCAATGTGTCAGCCCTCTGCTTCTACGCCATCTCAACTGTTGAGATCAGTCCTTCTGTTTAATTCTTTTATTTCAATGTGTTTTTGATGGCAAACTTTCTACCACACCTGTGATTAACAAAACACTTACTTTAAAAGTAGGAATTACTATTTCATACATCTGCCAAAGAACAGAAGTTGTTGCAAATGTAGCCAGAAGAAAAGAACTGTGTTGAATAGGGTAGACTAGAATGTTGTGATTAGCTTGAATATAAGTGATCACATTCCCTCTTGTTTAGCCAGCTTAACACCCTTTAGTAGGGATGCACTGATACCAGTATTGGTGCGTGCTGATACTGAGTATTTTCACAAGTACTAGTACTCGGAAAAATGCTCCCGATACACAGACCGATACTTTAGGGTGTGATTTGCATCAAAACAAAATGTATGGACACAAATTGCACCACAAAGAATAGCATGCGGTTTGAACAGGAATGTGATTGAATATGGTTTCCTGTGTGAACCCAGGCTTGTCATAGTTTTGAGTTCACAGATGAGCGGTGCAGGAAACCTCCCTGCACCAATCCCATGCTGAGCGGAGAGTGGAAGAGAAGGACGTGTGAGGATATAGACACTGGTGTTGGCTATCAGGTGGAGGATGGAGTCAGATGCTCCAGGTTCTCAGCAGGAGAGGAGGGAAAGCTGCACAGATCTGTAATCCCTCTGACTTTCTCTCCTCTCCTTGCAGGGATGACAGCACGGGCTAGATGGCTTTTGATTGGTCAGCTGATGAATCAAAGTTGTGGCTATACAAAAGGGAACGTGATCACCTATATTCAAGCTACTCACTGTGACAGTGCTGACCAGTCAAAAGTCATCTAGCCTGTACTGTCATCCCTGCAAGGAGAGGAGTGGAAGGCACAGGGATTTTAAATCCTGTGGATTTCTCTCCACTCCTACATCTGAGAATTCGGAGCATCTACCTCCATCCTCCGAAGGCCGATACCAAGGTATACATCCCCACACGCCCTTCTTTCCCACTCTCCGCTTAGCATGGGATCAGTACAGGGATGTTTTCCACACTGCTCCTGTGTGAACTCAGGCTATGGTTCATACATGGGGAAACCACATGCGATTTGGACAGGAATCAAACCGCATTCCTGTTCAAATCGCCTGCTATTCTTAGTGGTACAGTTTGCATCCATACGTTTTGTATAGACAAAAATCGCACCACAATGTATCGGTACTTGGTATCGGCGAGTACTTGACGAAGTAGCGGTACTCATACTCTCCAATAAAAAAATGGTATTGGTGCATCCCTACCGGTTATAGAACTGTATCAAAAGTGTGCCAGATATGATATAGCAAATATGTTAGTCACATTGCAATAAAGCAAATAGCAGCCTATGCTGATCTAATCCTAATTCATTTTTGCTTTAACAGGCACCTGATCAGATATATGAAGGAATAACTTTTGATGACTTTCTAACGGTAAAAATGTAAATTTTTCACTGCAAAGTGTAATTTTTGTCTTAAAAGAGCATAGAGCTATTACCTAGGGGGAAAGAGATATTATTTAGAACCTCTCTTCAGTTTTTATTTTAACTACTCGTGTTCTTTATGACAAAACAAGACAAGAAGAAAGAAGCTCTGCAGCAGGGACACGGAATACAACTTTTTTTTTGTTGTTTTCTAGAGTGAAAAAAAGATATCCTTTTGCTATCTCTATTAGCTAGTTTCCACAAAGTCACTGGGACAGGAAGTGTGGGGAAATCTCCCCAACATGGATGCAGAGGGCACTAAAACCTAGTAGATCAGAATTCCACATTAAGGTAATTGAAGAAATATTAGCTGATTTGACAAGCATAGCATCCATCCCACCCAACCTCACCAAAAGTGCCAGCCTGTGCTGATGGTGCTCTTTCAAAGCTCCTTGAGTGGTGGGAATCCTGGGGATAGAAAGCTTTTGTGCAATCTCACCCAGAGGAACTGATAAAAAGGCCTTCTTAAAAACAACACAAATGCTTATACTTAGGAAATAATCTTTGTAAAACAGTTTACTTTACTTTCCCCATTTTGACATCAATCCACCTCTCCAGCTTTTCCAGTCAGGGAGCCCTTTGCATTCACTGAAATATGCAGTGTTCTCTGCTCTACAAATATTTTTATTGAGTTTTTCAAAGTTAAATAACAAAACGGTACAAAAGATAATACACAAACTAGTGCAATAACAAAAAATTGTAGAAAACAAGGGTGCAGCATTAGCACTGAAACATTATAAGTAGCCCAAGCAATCAGAAAACTATACAAAGTTCGTCACTAGCCAAGGGCGGGTCCAGAGAGTATGCAAATTCAATACCATTATGTCATATAATGCAGATCAGTATAACAAGTACTATATGGCTGTACACCCCGGGGAAGAAAGAAGAGGGGAAAAAAAAAAAGGGATGAAGAAGGGGGAAAGGGGGGGAGGACTTCAACTCCCAAGGCAAGGAGGCTGGAAACCAGAGAAGAAATGGAAGAGGCATAAGAAGGCCACCAGCCGATGAAGACAGCCTAAAGAGTGAAAATAAAAGGGGGAGGAGAGAACCAGGAGAAGAAGTGGAAAGGGGACTCACTTGGGGAGAAAGAGGAGAAGGAGGGAAAGTGTCCTATGTGGTTCAATTCATTGTGTTGTCCCAGAGCGGGCCTCGCTAATATTCATATCGATAGCAAGGAGTGGTCCATACCTAAATGGTCATTGAAGTTTATCCAAGGGTCCCAAACCTTCAGGAAGTTGGAGTGGGTGTCCATGAGAATGGATGTGAGCTTCTCGTGCACCATTATTTTCATAAGGTGCTGTTTAACCTCATCAAAATTAAGGAACAGTTGGCGCTAGGTCTTAGCTATGGTCTGACAATCTCCACTTCCTCTGAGCTTTGGTCAAGGACAGAATGGACATGTGCACCAAGGCTTCACAGGGTTATGTGTTAAGGTGACAGACAGAACCAATCTAATCAGATAGTAGACCTGGGTCCAAAATATTAAAGCTTTTGGGAAAGACCAGCAGGTATGGCACCCGTGCCAAGTGAGTGTCCTCCTGTGTTCACTAAGCAGCAGGGAAGCTGCTCACCATAGGATCTAGAAACTAGCAGCAATCACTGTAGTAACTATGCATGCTATGGTGGTTTGCAGCTTCCAAGGAAATCAAATAGGCATGAAATATACATACTTATATAGGTCCAAGCCACATCTGCATTCAGCTTTTAAAACTGGATTTTTTTCTACATACTTACCTGTAAAATCCATTTCTTATAGTACATCACAGGACACAGATCAGGCCATAATAATGACTATGTGGGTCATATACCACCTATAGGTAAATGGACACTGGTCTACCAATCAGAAAGGAAGTCTTCCCCTATACTGTATAACCCCTCTTACACAGGAAATACTTCAGTTTTTGTAGCAAGCAATGACAGTCCCGTGATGTACTCCAAGAAATGGATTTTACAGCTAAACATGTAGAAAACAAAAGCGCTTTTTCTGGGCCCTTCTGGCAGCACAAACCAGGATTCCTGACCTATGCCACCAGCTCAAGTAAATCCTGACCACTTGAACTACAGTATGCAGCGCTCTTTCCCCTGCTTACTGTAGACTAGGAAAAAATAAAGGCAAGACACTGTCCTGATTTAAGTGAAAACCAAAAAAGCATTCTAGGCAGGAAGATGGGTGAGGATGCAACATCACCGTATCATGATGCCAAGAAATGGCTCCTTACATGAAAGGGCCACCAGCTTTGACACTCTTCCTGCCAAAGTGATAGTAATCAAAGAAGCCACCTTCCGAAACAAAGGATTAGATTTCTTTACTTGGTTCAAAAGGCAGCCCCTGCAAGAACAGCCAAAGTCACAAGGGCGGCCTGACAGATGGGACCATCCGTGTTACACATTGCACAAAGTTCCAATCAAGGAGTGAGAACCACAGTCTCTGGGGAAAAAAAATGGATAAAGACAAAATCTGACCTTAAATAGTACTCAAGGTAAATTTAATTTCCCGTCCCGATTGGAAAAAGGATTTAAAAAAAAAACCTTACAATTACCCACTTCCGTGGGTGGCACTTCTTGGCCTCCCACCAGGAAATTAAGATTTCCAGGTCCTGTAATGGAAGTTCCCTGATGCTGGCTTTCTAGCACTCACAAATGCATAAAAAATAGGACCCAAGACCCCCCCCAATCTTACCAGAATTGAGCTTAAAAAAACCAAGCCTTCAATCCTAGCAGTCGTATACAGGATACAATATTGGACCCAAGACAATAGGTCTTGGCAGACTGGAGTGCCCAAGGAGTGCCCCCTGCAAGATACACTATGCCGATGTATCAAGCCCTCCTGGGCTAGGCCAGGCTACCACTGTTATTAGTGTTACCTCCTCCTGGACTCTGCACAAAAGACATGGCAATAGTTGAATTGGTGGAAAGCATAGATTAGCCTTCATGCTGCTTCAGTGCAGCTCAAATGTAAGCTCCTGCAGATCAAATGCAAGCTACTCTGGAGCCTCAACTCCTTTAAGTGCACTGATACCCTTGCAGACTTGTATCAAAAATCAGTTGTACAAGCCCCCCCGGGATTATGCAGGATAATGCAGTGTATAATCACGTCGTGTCTTGTCATGCAACTCCCCCCAAAGGAAATAATCACACACCATCATCCAGCCATAGACTGCTCTGTGTCTCTGCTACCTCTCAGGAGCGTCACAAACCGCCAGCCACATGAGATTACAAAAACAAGCTAAAATGGCCGCCCATCTACTGCCTGCCTCTGCTACACAAGTGTAGGCTATAGCGAGCGGCCCCATGACGTCTAGTGGTTGGAGGAGAAGCTGCAGCCCAATACTCCTTTACAGACACACACAGCATGGCCTGGCTAGACCCAACAGTACACTGTCCCCAGTAGCCACCGGAAGAATGACCAAACAGGCAGATTTTTCAAAGAAATACTGCAAATGTAAACTTATCATTCCCGCCGCAGGAATCTGAATCATAACAGGAATCCAACCTTCACCCATCACGGCGGGCTTTGTCAGTCTCTTCAAGGATTCGGTCCCCATAATGTGGGGCCACTGCCTCAGACCTGTACAGCACCCTTCCGGAAAGTGCCTTGGTCAGTATTATACTGCACAGGATTCCATTATGCAGGGTCCAGCGCTGTAAGGGTGCATTACAGTCAAAACTTTGAGGATTCTTCTCCTTATCCAGCAAGGCTTGGGTACCATCCATTTTGGCTAACGGCTTTCCAAATGGATCTGAGTAAAGTCCCTGAATCTACAATGGAACCATTGTGGACCTTCAGGTATGCTCCAAGAGCACATGCACCACTTAAGGGATCATCCACCTTACAGGTGAAAAAAATAGGTACTTTCTGTTCAGGAGGGGTTATATAGGGGAGGGCATCTCTCTGATTGGTTGGCTAGTGTCCATTCACCTATAGGTGGCATATAACCCACATAGTCATTATTATGGCCTGCTCTGTGTCCAGTGATGTACGATAAAGAAATAATTTTTTTCAGTGAAAACGCTGCTTTTTGACCTGACCTGGCATTGCAGGGTTCTGTGGTGGCAGTGCTGAGTAACAGCCGCACCCCTCATTCATATAGGCATTTTGCAGAGGAAGTGAGATAGCATGTCCATGTAAATGTGCTAACAAAAAGTACAATTTTAAGCACTAAAATAAATGCAATATATTTGGATTCAATGGAATTGTACAAATAAAGCTGGAAGCTTGGTGTGCTTTTACTAGAATATAGTAATGATGCTACTGAACATTAAAGTGGTATTAAACTCAAAAGCAAACATTTAATATTTTGCAGCTTACCAGTTCTTGGATGTGCTTGCTGCATTAGTTTTCTTTTTAGGCTTTTTTCCTTTATTTTACCTGGTGATCAGGCCAGTAGGTCTGTTGTTTTTCAACAGAACAAGCCTGCAGATGTAGCAGTTACAGAGCTGAGCCAAACCATTTACCACTGACCGGGGTGCTTAAAATGATCAGCTATTATTTATGTAAAACTTTTATCCTGAAAAGAAAAAAACTGTTTACTCTAACTGCTTTTAAAGTATTTGCTGGAGTTTGGCTTCAATTTGTTAGTGTATCTAAATCTGCCTTGCCTCTAACACTCCCCACCCCCCAGATTAAAAATTCTGCTGTTCAGATGTACCCCTGTGCTCCTTTATCCTGAGTGGGGGCACTCTAATACAAAAAGGTGTGTAACTGGCCAGATCACCAGGTGAAAACAGAGGCGAAATAAGCCTGAAAAAAGAAAACGGATGCAGCCTCCACATCTACTGATCGGTATAGCTGCAATGTATTACATTTTTGGTTTTGGGTTTAATACCACTTTAAGTTCACATCCCAAAGACCCCTAAAGGGGAACTGAACTCTACAAGTTGTGACCAAAAAGAGGCAGGCAGATTTGTACCCTCAATACCGACCTACAATGCCTTGTTCTGCACTGTGTTCCTATGTTGGGCAGCCATCTTGGGAGAGACAGGGTTTTGCTTTTCCATGTCAGAGCCTTCAGCAGCATAGTAGTGACATAACCAAATCTCTCTCCTGAGACTAGCAGTCCGAGGCAGCAGTGCCTTAGATCCTGCACTATGGATATACAGCTAATGATACGGTAGACACTGGAGTGCCTAGGCACGCTCATATACGGTGAAGTGCACTGCTGTTTTTCAGAAGGAAATTAGGGGCATTTTAGGGTACTGTTTAGGTACAATTAACATTTCTGATTGTTGTTTTTTTTTTTGTTCAGTTGCACATTAAGTGGGGAGGTACAGTATGTTTGCTAAGAGCTTACTAACAGCTGAAATTCTTTAATATACCTGTAATGGCATGGTTAACTGGTGTCATTTTTTAGTGAGACCTGGCAACTGAAATAGATGCAAGCATCAGAAAATGTACCTCTGAATGGGACTGTAGGCAGTAGTCTTTATTCTATACAAGAAAGACCAAACTCGTTTTGATGCTAACTTGGCCGCAGCCGTTTTATTATTTGTTTAAATATCATTCTTTATAATAATTTTTTTTTTTACATATTAGCTTACTAATAATTGTAAAACATTTTTACTTAAATTAATCTTACTCAAAAACCCCCCACTTTAGTCACTACGACTCAAGCTGTACTTGTTAACATTACACTTATCAACCATACTCACTAACCATACAACTTTTTTCAATTTACATACATACGTATTTTACCATCATCACTTATGATACTTGCCAATAATAATTGGCCATGACGAAAAGGGGTGGGTGGGTGGGAGCACCACAGAGATGCCTCCCAGGTTTCTGAATTTTCCATTAACGGACCCTCTTTTTATATCCCTCTCCTCTCTCCAATTCTTCTTCCTATTGGTCACTTTTTCCTTCCAGGAATGTCCAGGTGTGGTTGGAGGGCTAAAAAACTCCCAATTCTAGAATCTTCCCCATTATTTAATATACCCCTGGGGGGGGGGCTTAAAACTTCACAGGTGTAGTGGGGGGCTTAAAATCCTTTTTTCTAGAAGATTCCCAATTATACTGGTATATCGTGGGGGAACTTGAAACTTTAACGTTTTTTTCTCTTCCTCACACCAGTGGGGGACTAAAAAAAAACCTTCTGACCATCTAGAATGTTCCCCCGCTGTATTTTTACAGTGGGGGTACTTGAAACCTTATTTCCCTGCCACAGTCCTATAACAAAAGGGGGGGGGCCCTATTTATTCCCCCTTTCTTTTCCTATTCATGTTGTTGTATAGCGGCACTCACACAGTGGTATAGCCTGATAACTGCTGTAACACTTTTACTAAATTCATGTTGTCATTAAGCCCAAGTATAAGTGACATCATCCATAAATATATGAGATACATTGCTGTATTTAAAGGTTAAGACGTTGGTTCAGCGGGTAGACGTTTGTGCAAAATAAAAAAAGCAGCATGGAATTTTATCATCTGGTGATATTGTTATGAGCAGTCATTATCTCTGTCTCATATCTGTTTAAAGTAATATGGGTGGTGGAATCAAGGGTTGGGCTGCTCACACTTACATATTCATATTCCTTAGTTATCAACTACAGGGACACTGTGCAATATTCATTTATGATATAAGCTGAAATCCAATTAGAAATCTAAAGATGCACTACCTTTTCTCACAATAATGAACCACTTCCCAACCACATTACAGCTGACATACACCTACAGCACGGCTCTTCAGTTCTGGGAGGGTGTGCATCAGGAACGCTCTTGACCACTGTGTGCCTTGGACACAGTGGATCACAGATCAAAAATTTCAAAGAAATCAAAAATTTCATTTGGGTACAGTGTTGAATGACTGAGTAATTGCCATTCAAATTGTGAGAGTGCTGAAATCTGAAAATTGGCCTGGGCAGGAAAGGGGTGAATGTGTCTGGTATTAAAGTGGTACATGACCAATCACAGCCACCCTTTACCTTGTGATAAGCTGTGTCCAAGTTATCAGCTGTCCGTCCTTTACACACAGAGACTATGTGGGAGGGAAGGAGAGCCAGTTCTGTAAGGGGCACAGGGAGTGCAATATTTTACACTGATACACAGTGCCCTGGTCATCAGTGCAGCCCCCATCAGTGCAGCCTCATTATTATTAGCCCCTTGGCGCGGCACCCCCCGGTCCTTTAAGGGTTCCAGAAGCCAGGAGGCGGGGCAGGGTTTTAGGGTCATGTGACCTCCGTGATTCGCAGTCACATGATCGGGAAAGGTCCTGATCAAAAGAGATCGGTACCTTTTCGTGATTACTGAACGTGTGTGCTGGGAGCGCGCAGGGCGCGCACTCTCAGCACATATGTGGTTTTTTTAAAAAAAAAAACGCAAATGTGCGACCGCTCGGCATCTAGGCCCAGACGCGGGAGGCCGCACATTTGCATTCACCCCGGCGCCAAGAGGTTAATATACAGGATTTATATAGCGGCAACAGTTTGCTCAGTGCTTTACAAAATGAAGGTAGACATTACAGTTACAATATAATTTGATACAAGAGGAAACAGAGGCCACTTCATCAGTGCCCATCAGTGCAGCCTCCTCAGCGCACATCAGTGAAGAAGAAAAATTACTTATTGGCAAAATTTTATGACAGAAACTAAGAAACACGTTTCTGTTTTGCCAAAATTTTTAGTCATTTTTAATTTATTTAGCAATAAAATAGGAAAAAAACGAGTGGTGATTAAAGTGTTACTAAACCCACAACAGTAAAATCAGTCTGTATATGCAGTAAAGCATGCTTGTTATACTCACTGTGGAACCTAAGGGGTTAATCCTCCGCATTGTGTAAAAGGATGTTTGATCCTTTCCTGTACTAAGAATACAGAGGCTTTCATTGCTGACAACAATGGTTTTGGTCATAAACATACAATCTTTGTTTTTACAAATAATTAATGCTGGGTGCATCCATGACAAAGGAATCCCAGAGCACACAGAAGCTGTTCCCTATCAGACATTCTGATTCATATTAGTATTGAAGGAGAATGGGGATCAGTCAGCACTCAGACTCATTCACTTTTGTGTGTAAATTTCAGCTTGAGGAGAGAAAAAAAATGACAGTTGGAACTTTTCTTATGAACAACAGCTCAACTCTTGTTTAAAAACATTGCTCCATGATATACCACATCTTTTTACATTTCTTCAGTCCTGATCTCCTGCAACAATAACATCACAATTGATAACAATGACATAGTTGTCATAACCTAGGTTATGTAAATATATATTGATAATCAAGGTAAAAAGCAATAATTTAGTTTTTTTTTGTAAATGTCTTTTCTTTTTTTTTTGTAGATTTGGCAGGGCATTGACATTGAAACGAAAATGCACGTCAGATTCCTGAATATGGACACTATTCCATCCTGCCATTGAAGCTTCTAACACACTGAAATAAGACATTGCTAGTGATTTAACAGGTTACATGAAGAGCTTCCATACAGCTAGTGACCCATTTATCCAGGGGTGATGGCAGAGGAGATCTAAATGTGCAAGAGAAACTCAGCAAATGGATCTCGCCGTGAGGATTACAAATATATTCCTCTGATTTATAGAAAATAGCCACTTTGACCACGATGCTACTTCACCCGGATACATGGCCCTGATAAAAGAGGCATCTTGTGGAAATGTACTGAAGGCAATGAAATAGAAACAAGCAATTCTTTAGCTAACTGAACTGTCATTCTACTATGCAATTATATTTCATACAATTCTAAGGAATACAATATATGGGATATGGTAATGAAGCTATATTAGCTCAGAGACTCTTGTATTGGTGATTTTGCTATAATAATGAAATAAAGGGGTTTTAATGATTTATTTGCTAGATTTTGTTTATTAATATATAATACAAACTATCCATTGCAGCATTAGATTTGGTGATATATGAATGCATTGGCTACAAGAGCTAAAAGGGAGGTATGTATACTGCACAAATAATCTCCATCCTCAGACATCAGTCTAAGGCCCCTTTCACACGGGTGTTCCGTATGTCCGTTTTTTATCTGTCCATTTACGGATGAAAAACGGACACCCATGTATTTCTATGGACTTGTGGATGTAAACAGATGATCATCTGTTTACATCTGTTAATGTCCACATCGTTAACATCCGTTTCTTTGAACAGAAGAAAACCCTATTTTTCTTCCGTTAAAAAATGTAATTGGACAAAAATGGATGTAAACAAATGAAAACGGATGTTATATGATAAAAAAAAAAACAATGTAAACAGATGAAAAACTGACATAAACTGCTGAAAAACTTGTGTGAAACTGATGAAAAACTGATGTGAACTGATCCGTTTTTTCTTGGAAAAAAACGTGACTGAACTGATGAAAAAAAACAGAACACTCATGTGAAAGGGACCTTATCCTTTCTGCCCTTTTTTTTTTTAATTAGAGTCTTCTGGACTGCAATTACTGCAGAGGACAGTGTTGGATTTGAAGTATATGTGAAACCTTACCAAAACAAACATTCAGTTTAACCACTTGCCCTCCAGAGGTTTTACCCCCTTCCTGACCAGGCCATTTTTTGCATTACGGCGCTGCGTTACTTTAAAGAAAATTAAATTTACATCCTTTTGTCCAATGAATTGTGCTTTCTTTCAGTGGTATTTGATCGCCAGTGCGTTTAATATTTTTGACTTTTTGCCAAGTCCAGTAAAAAAATATTTAAACATCCAATTTCATCATGAATTTATGCCAAAATGTATTCTGCTACATGCCTTTGCTAAAAAATCCCAATGCATGTAAATTAATTGGTTTGCGTGAAAGCTATAGTGTTTACAAATGGCGGTATATACACTGGAATTTTTTTTTACATTTTTACTAATAATGGCGGTGATCAGCGACTTATAGTGGGACTGCAGCAGACATTTTGACACTGGGGGGAACTGACTTGGTTTCACTGACATCCCCAGTGACACCAATACAGTGATCAGTGCTGAAAAAAAAAAGCAGACACTACTAATGGCACTGGGCAGGAAGGTGTTAACATGAGGGTTGATCAAAGGGTTAACTGTGTGCTGGGTGTGTTTTACAAGGGGGCGGTGTGTGTGTGATTCACTGTAATCATACTGCTGTGGATGGCTGTGCTGTGCACAGCCATCCACAGCAGTGTGTTCCCGAGCTGACAGGGAGGAGGACTGTTAGTAAACAAAACAGTCCTCCTCCCTGTGGGAGATCCTCGGAAATCACCAGGCACCGGCGAATAATTACCGGCTGGAGCTGTGGCTGCGAATGGCGGCGTGGGTAGGACACGCTCCCTCTACCCAAAAATGCGAAACTACATATATATACGTGATTTTGCACACCGCTGCCACCATGCAGCAGTATTTCTGCTATAGGGCGGTCAGCAAGCGGTTAAAATTGAAATACAAGGCCAAACACGTGTGTGTGTGTGTGTGTGTGTATGTATATATATATACAGTGTATATACATACACTGCTCGAAAAAAATGAAAGGAACAATTTTTAATCAGAGTATAGCATGAAGTCAATTAAACTCCTGGGATATTGATCTGGTCAGTTAAGTAGCAGAAGGGGTTGTCAATCCATTTCAGCTGCTGTGGTTTTAATGGAATTACCAACACGTACACTAGATGGGCAACAATGAGATGACCCCAAAACAAAAATGGTTTTACAGGTGGAGGCCACTGACATTTTTTTCTTTACTCATCTTTTCTGACTGTTTTTTCACTAGTTTTGCATTTGGCTAGGGTCAGTGTCACTACTGTTAGCATGAGGCGATACCTTGACCCTACAGAGGTTGCACAGGCAGTCCAACTCCTCCAGGATGGCACATCAATACGTGCCATTGCCAGAAGCTTTGCTGTGTCTCCCAGCACAGTTTTAAGAGCATGGGGAAGATTCCAGGAGACAGGCAGTTACTCTAGGAGAGCTGGATAGGGCCGCAGAAGGTCCTTAACCCATCAGTGGGCTTGGTATTTGCTCCTTTGTACAAGGAGGGACAGGATGAGCACTGCCAGAGCCCTACAAAATTACCTCCAGCAGGCCACTGGTGTGAATGTCCCTGACCAAACAATCAGAAACAGGCTGAGGACTCAATGTCCTCTAGTGGGCCCTGTGCACACTGCCTAGTACCATAGAGCTCATTTGGCATTTGCCAATGAACACCAAAATTGGCAGGTGCACCACTGGCGCCCTGGGCTTTTCACAGATGAGAGCAGGTTCACCTGAGCACATGAGACAGATGTCAAAGGGTCTGGAGAAGCCGTGGAGAATGTTATACTGCCTATAACAATGATCAGCATGACCGTTTTGGTGGTGGGTCAGTGATGGTCTGGGGAGGCATACCCATGAAGGGAGGCACAGACCTCTACATGCCAGACAATGGTACCCTGACTGCCATTAGGTATCGGGATGAAATCCTTGGACCCATTGTCAGACCCTACGCTGGTGCAGCGGGTCCTGGGTTCTTCCTGGTGCACGACCATGCCTGGCCTCATGTGGTGAGAGTATGCAGGCAGTTCCTGGAGGATGAAGGAATAGATACCATTGAATGGCCCCCATGCTCAACTGATCTAAATCCAATAGAACACCTCTGGGATATCATGTTTCAGTACATCCGACGCCACCAGGTTGCACCTCAGACTTTCCAGGAGTTAATTGATGCCCTGGTCCAGATCTGGGAGGAAATATGCCAGGACACCATCCATCGTCTCAGTAGCAGCATGCCCTGCGTTGTCAGGAATGCATACAAGCACATGGCGGCCAAGGAGCATACAAAAAAAAAGAAAATGATCTCACTGGGGTGAATGTGCTTCACTGTCTATCATGGTCAGTTTGAAATAGGAAAGCAGGGAGACTGTCAGAATCACCAGGTATTTCACACAAAGGAACCAAGAACAATTTACTGTCCTTCAGATTTTAGGGGGGCCAGTGGAAGTAGAAAACGCCCAGGTGTCAGTAGGAGAAAACAATACCCCATCATTGGTTTTAGTTGGAGGAATAGTGCCCTGTTGTTGGTAGCTGTGGGAATAATAGTTCCTCATTGTTAATATCAGTGGGGGGAAATAGTAGCCCAATATTGGTGTCAGTGGATGGAATAGTGCCTCAAGTGCTAGATAAAGGCAAGCAAAGGGTCACATCTGGGCCCCAGACTGCAGTATGCAAACTACTTCTCTTATCAAAGAAAGTGGATGGCGGAGAATTTATTGTTCCATACAACAGCATCATGTCTGCTGTATTTATAGGACATCATTATCTTTTCTATAAACTATATCTGATAAATGAAATGTATATATTTTGTTTTGTGGGTAAAGTTCTTCCTCAAAGCTTTTCTTTCTTATGTCAGCAATAATATAGCAAGGTTTGCTTGTTTTACGGGCTATGCTTCCTGATTTTAAAGTAAGAGAGATGAATTGGAATCACTACTTCTGATAAAAAGAGCATTAACTTCCTTTATAAAAGTTACTTAGGCTTAACCCCATCCAGACTAGAGATCAGATTTAGGAGTTGCTAAGAGGAGAGGAGAAAAAAAACATAAAGGCTGTTGCTGTAACAAATCTGCAAAAACATAACTTAGGCACACTGAAGCAGCCTGCTACTTTTTCTATTTCACTGTAGAAAATGATAGATGAACACATGAACACACAATATCACTGCACTCAGTGGTGTGTTTAGGTTTTGTGCTGCCCTAGGCAACACTAAAATCTGGTGCCCCCCCCTGTATGTCTGTATATAGTATAATGCAGTGATGCTGGTTCTATCCCTCTCTTCCTCCCTATTATATAACCTGCCAGTGGTGCTGATGCTGCTCTACACCTCCTCCTTCCCCCGATGGGCAGTGCTATCAGTCGGGATGGAGAACCCAGTTCGGGCTGTGCTCCACCTGCAGAAACTGACCAGCATTGTGCAGAACCAGCAGAGCCTTGTCCACACCCAGGAGCAGCGGATCGATCCTCAGTCTCCTGTCAGCTGCCACATGTGTCCCTTCTTCTGGGGGGCAACGCTGCCCCCCTGCAAAATGCTGCCCAAGGCAAATGCCTTGCTTGCCTCGCGGTATATACGCCCCTGACTGCACTCAGTATTTATTTGGCACATTTACCAATGGCGACCACAGTTCCTACAAATGTGGACACAGAAAAAAGAGTCCTAATCACTAATGGGCATTTGTAATGAACTGGGCATTTGTAATGAACCGAAATTTCACTTGTAAACTCATACAAAAGCGAAGCCTTACTACCTTGTGATTGCATGATTTTTGTTTATATACATATAGCCGCTCTTCCTGTTGGTATAGAAGCGGCAGCCTGGAAAACCATTTCAACACTTGCCTGAATTTAGGCCTGACAAAAACAGTGCTGTCAGGATTAAATGAAAAAAAAAAAGGAAAGCTTTGTTAATTGGGAGGTTT